ATCATGTGGGAGCAAGGCCAATTGTCACATGCCTGTCTATTCTTCATTTATTTTGTGTTTAGGAAGGGCCGAGCCAGCCTTGGCCCTTTTTTAGAAAGAGAAAAATGAAAGGAAGAAAAAAGAAAGAAAGAAAAATTATTGATCACCTAAAATGCCCCTAGGGTAGTGTTGTCTCTCGATTGCCCCACCCACTTTAGTTATCTCTAGATCTGCCCCTGGTCACCAATCTCCCTCTTCTGCTTCACTCTTCTGTCCACAGCAAGGAATGAATGGACCGGTACACCGAGGTAACCCCAACTAGCAGGGGTGACGCTAGGATTTGGCGGACAGGGGGTCCGAGGGGTGGGCCAATGCCCCGACAAGAGCAAAGTGAGGGTGGTCGAGCATCGCTTAAAATGTTCCAAAAGTTGTCCAGGGTGCGAAACCCCTGAAAATTTTGACAATTTAGGGGTTTCAAAGGCTTATTTAATCGATTTTAGAGTCTACAAGTATGTAGAAAATACATATAATTTTTTATTCTCCCCGATGAATTGTGGTTTATCTCTCCACCGGGGGGGCAGCTTTCCCCGACAGAGGCCCTTGTCCCCCGGCAACCCCTTCCTTCCCCCGTTGTCCACCTCTGCCAACTAGTCTTAAAAGATGTACTAAGTGCACATCCCCCCCATTTTGCCGCAAAATTTTAAAAAATTCAATGCAAATCAATGTTACGTCTCTTATACACATCTAGATGTGTATAAGAGACAGGTGCACCTGCCCCCCCCCCCCCCCCATTTGAAAAATTCTTGATCCGTCCCTGGTTATTTATAGTCCTTATCCAAGACAACTTTGTTCCACCAGAAAAACCATACTGTAGGCGAGCTTGCCATTGTAATGTTAACTATATAAAAGCTATTATGTTTGTCATTGTGGGAGCAAGGCCAATTGTCACATGCCTGTCTATTCTTCATTTATTTTGTGTTTAGGAAGGGCCGGGCCAGCCTAATCTGTAATACTGTATTTATAGAGGGCATTGCAAAGCAGAATTGTTTATGAGCCTCTGGAACCTTCCTTTACCACATGTTGTACGGTAATTGTTGACACACCCTTGTCGTACCATTAAGTGTTTGTGTCAAATTCAATTCAACTTTGTATTTTATTTCCTTTATATGAAGTAGCCAAAAGCTATTATTCTTAAGCTAAATACAAACATTTTTATTTCTAAGCTGGCACAATTACTTTTAAAACTTCATATCCTTAAAGTCTAGGGAGTTCCCTGCTAAGTAGATCAGATGTAGTCATAAGCCTCGAAATAGTCTAGCTTAAACCTAAAATAAAGGCATTATTCACGTCATCTTACTTTTGAATCAAGGGACACAATAAATGGTGTATAGGGACTATTATTTTCTATTATAGTGTGATTCTACATGTTTGTAAAATAGGTGTGTCTATAGGTGTAGCACCTATTTTATAGGTAATGTTTTTCTGCTTCATTGTGTTGTAGTATTTCATATCCTGTTCATACTCAACAAAAAAGAGATGTCCTGTTATCTAAAATACAGTAGAATTGCAGTCCCTATCTACAAACTGAATTAAACTTGACTCATAGTACCACAACAGTGGTGGCAACAGCATTTGCGCACACCCCCTCCCCTGTCGGACAAGCCTGGACCCCATGTCAACCGACGAATGACTATGTCATCGGATCAAAATAAAAAAAAAACAATTTGCCTATCCAAATAACACTATTTTGATTGTCAATCCCTAATATTGTGGCCTAAAAACACATTTAGGACCAAATTAAGCTATAAAAACTCTCCCCATGAACCCTAACAGGGATTTTTTTATTCCTGGCCGTCGACCGAGGCTTCATCGTCACCTTGGTTCAAACTCCCCTGTCGGACACTTTAAGCCCATTGTCTGCAAATTTCTGGTGCCACCGTTGAACGCAACTAACTGCCAAATAAAAACAAACAAGGCCATGCAAGAAAAACAAATAAGAATCACCTTATGGTTTATGTAAGAGGGCATTTGGAATGCTGCCTCCTTGGTCTTATTTGGAGGAGGCGGATTCAAGAATTTGGGAAAAGTCCTCACTACAAGGTTGCTTAAATTTGGTGAAACTATTTAAGTGTTTAAAGATGGGCGTTCCTCTCCACTGCCAGGTGCTCGCATGCACGATTTTCCAGACATACAGTTAAATATTAATCTTGGTTAGCATTTTTTCTCTGGGAGCAAACAGACAACAAATATTTAAAATTAATTTGTCAATGATGTGAAGAGGAAAAACACTTATTTCTTAAGAATGGTAAGTAATGTAATGAGACCTTTATGGACGCCAGACCAACTATTGTTATAATTATTGTTAATTTTGTAAGTCGGACTTATTCAAAAGGGGTGTGTATGAGGCCATCTATATTCAACCAGCCACTCTTAAACCAAGAAGGGCTGGTACAAACTCACAAAAGTTTACAATCCAGTTCTGCAAGTCTGAAAGATTAGTAAGTTCTTAATACGGTTGAATTATTATCTGGAAATTTGTATCTTCAAACAAAAATTTATTTTCGTTAATGAATATGATAAATATGTTTTTGCAGGCATTTGTGATGGATGTAGTTCCTAGTGATGCCGTGAAATTTAATCCTTACCCGCCTATTTGGAATGACTATGAAACAATTTTGAATAGAGCAGAGCATAGAAAGGTAATAACAACCATACGTACAATATAAATGAAATTAATATTTATAAAATACAGTAAAATATAAAGGAAATGCACTGTCTCTTATACACATCTTGGTTTTGACAAGGGCGCAGATCTGTTTCGAAACGTTAGGGAGACATTTCGTGAGCGAAAATTTTAGGAAGTAGTAGCTCTAGATGACCTGAAATGACACTTTTATAGTAAAATTCATCGTCATCACATCACCATTTATAGTCAAAATGAAGCGCCAACAAATTTCTTATGATGTTTTACCAGTGATTTTCGGCAACCATAGATATCTAATTAATATGTGTGATGTACTATAGAAAATAAATATTAACCCCCCCTCCCTTTAAGAATATTTGGGGACGTGTCCCCCTGTCTCCCCTTGATCATGGGTTTTTGGGGAGAGGCATCTTCTTTCATTTGAGATTTTTTGGAATTAGTAGACGGCTAGACGCTCTTGGATGACATCTGAAAAGTTAAACTTAAAATAGAAAGTATATGCTTTATGAGAGTACTACTACATGCAACATGTATACATGAAAAGCACACACAAAAGACGAGTGACCATATTTTTTTTTTCGAGGTCACCGAAGGGGGACTCCCCTAAATCCACCATTGTGTATGCATTAGAAATTATTATTATGATAATTATTGTTATAATTATAAGTAAACCCTTCCTAAACATGGCTCGATTTTCACTTTAGAACCAGGATTGTTGTTGTTTCTGTAAGTATTGATAGGATAGGAATGCTATACATACCAAAGTTAACTGTCAGTGGATGCCAATGTCACAGTGCCATCATTTTCTTGGAAAGTTGGGTGTATGGGTTTATGAACATTGTACGCCTACAGTTTCTGCTTTAACAGTTTCTGCTTTAACGGTTGTATACAATGGTATTTGTATTATACGGTAGTCTGAAAAGACCTCCTACAAAATGAACGACCTAAATTACAATGATGGATAACTTTATTACAATAAGAAATAACGGAAGTTATTCAACAATGCAGGCCTTACCAGGATGTATGAACAACAAAAACAATCAGTCATGCATACAAATACAGCATATTAAAATATTGGTGAATGTTAATATTGTTATTATTATTATTATTATTATTATTATTATTATTATTATTATTATTATTATTACTAAAATATCAGTGAAGTAGCAAACAGCTAATAAGCTGTAAAAACAATCATGTATTGAAATGCACGCCATTGTGTTGGGATTCAATATTTCAACATTAATTATGTCATCATCAGGAATCATTCATTTTTTATTTTAATGATTTAAAAAAATTGTTATATATTTTATTATTATTTTATCTTATTTGGTTTTTTTTTCATTGTTATTTTTTCATATTGTTTTTTTTTTTAATTTTTTTTATTTTCTATTTCTTTTTTTTTTTTTTTTTTTAATTCTGCCTTTTAAGAACCAGGGGTATATAACGATGCTCACGTCATACAAAAGCCTAATCTTTAATGTGCCCTAGCCAATTCTTGTGCTCTATGAAACAGACATGTTTTGGTAGGGTCTACTGCCATCATCAATGGGGAGATTGCACACAGGTAAACTTAATTATTATGAGAGTCGTGAACACGTAGTACTATATAACCATCGAACAATTCAGTTAACAAAACCGTTCATGAATAAATGTAAGGACAAGAACGAATTCAACAATGAACTGAATCTAAATGACAAAGTTAAATTAACATGGTAAAGTTTTTGTTGAGAGAGGGTTGTTTCCATTGCCTCCTTGATTTGTAGGTCGTATTTGGAGGAGGCGGATTCAAGAATTTGGGAAAAGTCCTCATTACAAGGTTGCTTAAATTTGGTGAAACTATTTAAGTGTTTAAAGATGGGCGTTCCTCTCCACTGCCAGGTGCTCGCATGCACGATTTTCCAGACATACAGTTAAATATTAATCTTGGTTAGCATTTTTTCTCTGGGAGCAAACAGACAACAGATATTTAAAATTAATTTGTCAATGATGTGAAGAGGAAAAACACTTATTTCTTAAGAATGGTAAGTAATGTAATGAGACCTTTATGGACGCCAGACCAACTATTGTTATAATTATTGTTAATTTTGTAAGTCTGACTTATTCAAAAGGGGTGTTTATGAGGCCATCTATATTCAACCAGCCACTCTTAAACCAAGACGGGCTGGTATAAACTCACAAAAGTTTACAATCCAGTTCTGCAAGTCTGAAAGATTAGTGAGTAAGTTCTTAATACGGTTGAATTATTATCTGGAAATTTGTATCTTCAAACAAAAATTTATTTTCGTTAATGAATATGATAAATATGTTTTTGCAGGCATTTGTGATGGATGTAGTTCCTAGTGATGCCGTGAAATTTAATCCTTACCCGCCTATTTGGAATGACTATGAAACAATTTTGAATAGAGCAGAGCATAGAAAGGTAATAACAACCATACGTACAATATAAATGAAATTAATATTTATAAAATACAGTAAAATATAAAGGAAATGCATATAAAATAACAATACAGTATGTACTGTATTACACATTAATACCAGTATAACAAATAATATTAATTGAGGTTTCAACAAACATTTTCTATATTTTTGTCAATCAATTTAGTTTTTAATTTACAAAACAGGTCTCCCTCCAACTTGGGCTCTAATTAGAATAATAAAGATAGAAGGCATAACTTTGGGACCACAGGGAGGTGGTCTTTATGCTTGGAATCAGCCAAAAGGCAGGAAATCAATAATGGTGGTCAATACACTATTATTCCTTTTATTAATGTCATTTTTGCTTTGTTTATTTATTTAGATATTGTCACTATTATTATTTATATATTTTTTTTTTTTTTTCAATTACAGATAGGTATAGGTAAAGTTCCACGATTTGATTTCTATGACAGGTCAAAAAAAGCCTTTGCTGTTGTAGCAACAGGGTATGTACACAAATGAGTTTGTATTCAATTATTATGGAGCAGCTGTTTGTCCTGTGTGTGGAAAAAGAGTAGGGAATTGTCTCCCGGTGTACTGCCCAATCACCACCAGAAGGACCCCACTGGAGATAAGTCTTCCTCACACTTTTGTGGGTTATCCTTGGTGTTTACACCAAACAAATCCATCCATTCAACTTGGTTGCAGCATACACAGAGTACTGTAAACTAATTGGTCTGGCTTGTTTTGTAATATATAAATACAGTTACATAGCAGAGTGTAAAAAAAACTTATGGCAACTTTACAGTCTATATTTGTAGCAGACTCATAATATCGAACTGGAATCTAAAAGAATATAATTTAGAAAAAAGTGTTTTTTATGTAAATTGTGATTAATTGAGATTGAAGTAATTTATCTTCAGTCGACGAAAAGAAAGAACGATGAGATTGAATGAGAAAAATGTGTGCACATGAAATTACGAAGGTCAATCTATAATTTAATGGAGAATTACTAAATTAAAATCAAGTATAAAATTGACAATTGTTTGGGGAATGTCTTGCTGTCTCAATTTTATGTAATACTACCTTCTGAATGTGGATTTTTGTTCTTATTGCAGGGAAAAGGCATTATATGGAAACCTCATTTTGAAGAAAGGTGTGATATCCGAATCCTAAACACACAGTCATCTTGGTGATTAACTGTGATTTATTTGGATTTCCATGGCTAGTGAACTATCTAAAAGTTACAATATAATATCGTGAAATGAACCTGGTGATGGTTTTAAGAGTAATTTAACTACAGGTGCCATGGCTGTCATAAGTTTTTAGTGGGATGTAGCCAAGTGGCTAAGATGATGCCTGTGTATGGGTTAACAGTGGCGAATCCAGGAATTTGAATAGAGGGGTCTAGGGCAAATGGAGTCTATACCCCCTCAGCAACACCATGGTCGGGGGCTGAGGAAAGAAAATTTATGATTTTTGGCACTTCTAGATGGCCGGAAATGGCAATCATAGACCCAAACTTGATTATAATTTTCATTTTTTCCTCCATGATTTTTATAATTTTGAAATATTTGGGGGAAACTAGGCATTATGTGACCCCATGATTAGCTTGATATTTAAGTGTTTCCAAAATAATATCAAATTTGTCAACCAATATTCTTTACAGAACAGTGCAAAGTGTACAAAAAACATCAATCCATTTTGTATGCAAGGATGCTGCTGTGGGCATTAAATAAAATGCCCAATTATATATTAAGTTGTCTGTGTCTTTGTGTGTAAATACAGGGTAACGTACCACCTTGGATGCCAGTCGATTGATCATGGTAGTGTTTGTACGTGTTCATCTTTGGTAGGACTGTCCTCAGTTTCCAGTTCATACTGTATATACTCGCGTAATTTTTACAAATTCACTCGGTTGCTTTGAGAACAAAATACTCTGTTATTGAAAGAACCATTGCTAATCAATCTATTCCCTTTCAGCTTAGTTGGCAAATCGTTGTAGTGGTACATTTTTTTATTACCTCGGCAACAGTGTTATCCCACTGGCGGGGTGTCATGGAGGGCACGGAAACTTGTACTACTCATCAGAAAATAAGACCCTTTAAAAAAGTAATTTTAAAGTATGATGGGCATTTAGAGGTGCACATTCTTATCATTTGCTCACCTCAGCAACGATCATGGTTGGCCTAACATGTAACATGATGGGGACGCTGTACCCCTCAGCAGGGAATCTCTGGTGCCAATACTGTAAGCAGCACATCTGCCCTTTGCTCCGCATAATAAAAACAGGCAATGCACTGGATATTGGAAGCCTATGATGTTTAATATTTACTGTACAACACACCGCACTCATGTGTTTACTTGATTTCTAATTAATTTATTTCATTGTCATCCAGTGGCGATATGTAGTAAAAGGATGTAACAATGCTCTATAAAAATACAAAGAGAAATATTTGCTGTTTGACATACCACACCTCTTGTGTTTACTTGTAATGTTCCATGATTGTTGTAGCAACAGGGTATGTACACAAATGATTTTATATTCATGATTAAATTTACCCTCAAGGCCTACTTGATAAGGCCTCCTCTACCTGCATCTGTACCACCCTAGTGGGATGTTGCACACAGAAGTCCCAAGCCCCCCCCCCCCAACACAGAAGCTTCCCGGAAATCAAGGAGCTCCTGGAAAATAACCTGTCTTCCGCAAATGCATAATATTTGCATGTTTTCTCTGCTTTATTATCAATTGTCTCACGGATGTCAGTGCCCGCTGGGTATCACAAGCCTCAGCAACCGTGGCAACCCGGTGGAACCTTGCACTACCCATCAGAAAATAAGACCCTTTGGAAAAGTAATTTTACAGTGTGAGGGGCATTTAGTGGTGCCCATTCTTGCCATTAGCTCACTTTACCCCTCAGCAGGGAATCTCTGGTGCTAATAATGTAAGCAGCACATCTGCCCTTTGCTCTGCATAATAAAAACAGGCAATGCACTGGATTTTGGAAGCATTATGATGTTTAATATTTACTGTACAACAACAACACACCGCAACCTCATGTGTTTACTTGAGTCATAATTAATTTATTTCATTGTCATCCAATGGCGATATACAAAAGGTTGTAACAATGCTCTATAAAAAAACAAAGAGAAATATTTACTGTTCCTCACCTCTTGTGTTACTTGTGATTCATAATTAAATTATTTCATTCTAATCCAATGGTGACAGAGTGAAATAATGCTCTATGAACCAAGTCCCTACTGTCTACATTAATAGAAACTTCCTTTGTGGTTTTAGCGATCCATGATTTTTTTTATTTTACTTTCCTATGAATTCCTTTTCGGGGGGACCTTAGCTGGGATGTTATCTGGCATCCTTAAAAAGCAAGTGGTCATCTTTAAATTTTAGTGCTACACTTTTTTTGATTTGTAATTTCATATAGATTTATGTTGTCGATTTGTAATATAATTGATTGTAAACATTTTGCTTATTAGTAGAAGTGGTTGGCGCATTGGTTGTGGCTTGGACTCCTAACCTCGATGTTGGGGGTTCAAAACTCTCGCTGTGCAAATCGCTTGTGTCCTTGGGCAAGGCACTTAATCTACGGTTGCCTCTCTTCACCCAGGAGTACAAGTGGGTACCTGGTAGGTTCCAACACAACTGCACTGATTACTAGCTGCAATATGATGGAATAATAATTTAATTTAATAAGTTAATTTGGTCTTGAGTATGTGATCCAATGACCGGGGTAGTAATGTGAAGCGCTTAGAGGCTTTGTGCATGAAGTGCTATATAAGAACGACATATTATTATTATTATTATTATTAAAATTACATTGGAATACATTAATGTTCCTCCACAGTTTGCTTTGCTGTTGTATAGAAAAATACTATCCACGAACGCAACTGTACTAGCATTTCAAATCTCTGTAATATCTTCACAATATCAGTTGTACCAGTCAAGAAATAATAGTGTGAATGAACACATGAACAGAAAAAATAAAACCCAAACTCGAAGACTTGCATTATTCTTGATAGCCTAGGAAAAAAAAGAAGTAAATAATTATATTGTTGAAATTGATCACCGATTACAGGAAAAATGTAAAAACAAATAATAAAAAGAATTATCAGTCAAAAGAATGTTTTTTATGTCTTGTTCTAATTTTAAATTGAAGGGTAAACATTTATTTGTCCCAACATTTAGGTGAATTTTCTGGACGACATCATGAAAATGATACTGTGAATGATTTTAAAATCATTCTACCGGTATTTGTAATACAGGGGATGAACGGAGAAGCATCATAGCTGATAGCATCATAGCTGATAGCAGATTTATTACATTCCAAGAGTATAAATTCCCAAGAATAAATTGTCGACCTACTTCTCTAATAGCTTCAGTAGCACCCTCTATGTTCTCTGTTGATGTTACCGCCTTCTCTCTAACTTGCTCAATGACCTCGTCCTTTTGGATAACAGGAAACATTATTCATTAATTATACTGTATAGTCAATATTGAAATATGTACTGTTAAAGGATACTGGTTTGGACCCCTATTAGACCATGTTTGTAATATTCTGGAGATATCACTCTGTATGACAAGGGAACAACTCAGTGGTAATACTAAAAAATACTCAGTAGAGAGAATGAGGCTACACATTGTGTATGGCGTAACTGTTATTTTTTCCAATGACGAGTGAAGTAGTAATAGCACTGACACACTCAGAATAAAGTGCTATACAAAAATTAATATATTAACTATTTAGTTCTTAATTGTCACTATATAATCTTAGTTGAAATTCTTGTAACTCATGTGTAAGGCAGACAAAATAACAAAAGTCTATATTAAGAAAGTAAATTTAAGTATTTATATATTATTACAATGCAGGTATTGATAATGCTTATAAATTCTGATTAAGTTTTTAATTGTGTTGGAATTCTTGTGGCTCATACACAAAGCAGACAAAGTGACAAAAATATAAATGTGAATTTAAGGATTTATATATTTACAATAGTTTAACTCTTGTTGTGTGCCGGCACTAAAGAGTGATAGATGAAATGATGTTCTGTATCTATTTTTTTGATAGGAAGGGCTCTATAGCTGGAGTTGGTTTGGAATTAAAAAGGCCGGATATACCGTAAGCCCATATACAATGATAAATCTGTTTACAAATAAACAGTAAATATTTACACCTGGTTAAATGGCTTGGACAACACAAATTCAGAAAAGCCTTAGCTTTGATAAAGCTGAATGAAAATTCACTGCTATTGAAATTTTAAAATATCGACCTGCTTTTGGCACAATATTTAGAACAGACGAAAAAGTGTGAATAAGTCGTCTATTGAGCACTATGTCGCTACATCGGGGTACACGGTGACATCACTTTGTTGCCAAGCAACTACTGCTAAATGGTAGTTACGATGAGTGCCATCATCAATCAAGAACCTTGAATTGTATTGTTGCTTTTTATTGTAAGGTCTTTTTCGCGAGATGCTTAATGTTTTTTTTTTGTTTTTTTTTTTTTGGGGGGGGGGGGGGTTAAT